CTATCTATCTATCTATCTATCTATCTATCTATCTATCTATCTATCTACCACTAACCAGTAACAGTTAATCACCTGAGCTTAGTCAGAGCCCCAGAAAAATCATTTCACTTTGTTTATTAAGCAAACAGAGCTATTTTTAATTTGAATATGACTTAATTTGGGCGAGTCAAGGGTCTATCTTTTAGGGTGGCCATCTTGAAAGCTGCCATAGGAGGTTTTTCCATTGGGACCTGCTTTAAAATTCGGACAGCTGCTTATTTTCTGAGACTGAAAACAAATCCTATGGCAACACCATGGCAGCATCCTTGTTATCATGTAATTACTGAGAGAATTTTCATTCCCTACAAACTTCGATCCACCCGAAAACCCGGCACGGGTCAGGCTGACTGTGAGAACTGAGACTGTACTGGCAGATTAGAGATGTTAAAATGGGAGCTCAGTAAGATTTGAGCAGCAGGTGTGTGTCCCCACCCTCAGAGCTGATTACCTGAAGCACTGAGAGCAGCGTGGAGCCATTCAGAACCAGGAACTGCAGGTTGGGTGAGTGGAAAAGTTCTGGTCCAAGGTCCGGACTGTCACAGAAGGGGTTGTCTTGGTTTTCACACACCTGTAAAAACATTACCATTATGTTTGGATGTTTTTTGGAGAATCCGGTTTCATTAGAAAAACTGAATCCATTTATTTGGATCGTGGGGATTTGGAAGAACCGGTACCTGACTGGACAGAGTGGCCGGCCCTCCAGACATGGGATAATGCCCCAGATGGTTGACCAGGTGGGTAATAACTGTCCTGGCTGCTATGGAAACCAGGCCTTGCTGAATTCGGCTGCGATCTGAGAAGAGAAGACATAGATTTAATTATTATTATTCACAATCTGAAAAACAAGTTCTGGAAAAAGACCCCTCTTTTACCTCTTGTTTTTAGACTAACTACTAGACAGAAGTCCTGTTGGGTGCATGAACTTAACTCATTGACTGCCAGCCATTTTTTTTAGAACAGAGAGTCCCATACTGCCAGAGTTTTTTGAGCATTTTGACTGATTTTTCAAGAGCCACAGAATAGTTTGTGCTATGACTATGTAAACACCGAACACACCAAAAGAAAGAGTAGACTCTCTTCTTTCATCAGGAAAAAATGTTTTGTTTCTACCTTATTCCGTTCTTCCTCGACGTGCGTCTCACCGGCGACATTTTTCGCATAGCGAACCATTGCGTTTTTTTTATTTGCCTACAGTCTATGCTCATCTCCCATCAAAAGTGGCACTGCCCCCTAGAGGGTCAATTTGTTAGTACATACTCTGTCTAGAAGCCCATATTTACGGACAAGCTTTAGCAGATCGTCCCCCAGCCACTCTCGTTGAAAAACATAAAAGACGTCTATAGACGTCTTTGGCAGCCAATGAGTTAAAAGACTTCTGCTTTCAAAGCTAAACAGAACAAAACAAACCTGCTGTTTGGGTTTGGGTTGAGAAGTCTGAGTGTTGGAGTAAAACTCAAAGAATTAAAACGGCACAAACACTGTCGGGTGGAGCGGCGTGCTGAGAAGAAGCCGATGCCATCACACGCTGTGCTGCCAGCCGCTTCTGGTTAATCAACATCAGGACGCACGAGGAGGCATGCGCACTCTTTCCAACAACTCCTCATTGACAGGTTGTGTGGCGAGTACAAACATGTATTGAACAACATTCTCACTGACTCCCCTGAACCTAAACCACAGGGGGGGGGCTCAGGAGGAGGAGGGAACAGATAAAATAAAAGAGAAGGCAAGGGAGCCATACCTAAAAACAGAGATAGCTCAGAGATTTATACTGAGAGTTATTTTACTGGTAGCAAAGAAAATTAATACTATGCACTGGAGAGATGTAAAAACCACCAACTATAAGTGAATGGGTCCAGAGACTGAGACGTGTTTACACGATGGAGAGAATGAACGATGGACCCTTTTGTACAAAGATGGACTTGTATTTCTGAATGTTTGGGTGTCTGATGGAGAGGACGATGGGATGAGAGTGGAATTCCTCTATGGGGAGGGGTCCCGTTTGGTCACAGATTACAGATTGTGGATGTCGTCTGCTCTGCCTGCTGTCATAATGGTGAAGATTTTTTGGTATTTATTTGTCGTGATGTTTACTACTCGAGTTTTTGTCAGAAGATTGCTATGTAAAATTACTAAAATGATTAAATAAAACGTTCTAAAACAAAAAAAGAGAAGGCAAAGAAAACATAAGTTAAAAGTTATAGATGAGAAGGAAAGAGAGGACAAGGAAGAGAAGAGAAGGAAAGAGAGGACAAGGAAGAGAAGAGAAAAGAAGGAAAGTGAAGAGAAGGAAAGAGAGGACAAGGAAGGGAAGAGAAGAGAAGAGAAAGAAAGAGAAGACAAGGAAAAGAAGAGAAGAGAAGAGAAGGAAAGAGAGGACAAGGAAGAGAAGAGAAGGAAAGAGATGACAAGGAAGAGAAGAGAAGGTAAGAGAGGAGATGACAAGGAAGAGAAGAGAAGAGAAGGAAAGAGAGTACAAGGAAGAGAAGGAAAGAGAAGGAAAAAGAGGACAACGAGAAGAGAAGAGAAGAGAAGGAAAGAGATGACAAGAGAAAAGAAAAGAAGGAAAGAGAAGAGAAGGAAAGAGAGGACAAGGAAGAGAAGAGAAGAGAAGAGAGGAGAAAAAAAAAGGAGGCATGGTCTATGAGGGTCCTCCAGTCATTAGACTGTCACTAGTCCTGGTGGACCACAGCAGGGGGCGATTCAGACTCCTCCACAGATGCAGACGGGTCCACATACGGACACACCGCTCCCTTCTGGGTCACGTTGTGCATTCATCTGAGTCGATGCATTCATTTTGCATGTGCGGAGAATAGGGTTGTCAAAAGTATCGATACTCGAAAAAGTATTGATACTCGAAAAAGTACTGATACTAAAATGTTGTATCCGGATACGATACTCATTTTCAAAAGTATCGATACCACCGCGCGCCCCTTCTCTCTGATTTATTTTTGTATTTATTTACGTTGTTTCTGTTCATTAACAAGACGTTAGCCTTGCTAGCTGCGGCTAATGGCTAATAATAACATGCTACCCTTAATCAAGTACATATACAACTCCGCCCACATCCAAATCGGACGTTTTGATTAGGTCACCAATAGAAAGATCCAAGGCAAGAAAATCCTAATTGCTTCATGGCAATATAGACATTAATTTAAAAATAGTGAAAGTAATCTAGCAAACACTGAATTAAACTCTATCCATAATATTATGTTAAAATAGTGGATGTTAAATAGGTTTGTACAATAAGTCCAAACAAGTTTAACCAAAAAATATTTATTTCTCACTATTATGAAGGCTGGAGGGATAGGGTCAGGGTTAGGGTCAGGGTTAGGTTTAGGGTTAGAGTCAGGGTCAGGGTTAGGGTCAGGGTCAGGGTTAGGGTTAGGGTTAGGGTTAGGGTTAGGGTTAGGGTTAGGGTTAGGGTTAGGGTTTGGGTCATTAATGTGGGCCACCATAACATCAGTAACAGGTCAGTTTGAAACCAAAGACACTAACCTGTCAAAATTCAGTTCAATTTTAGGGTCTTTGTTTTTATCCTTGTGGTATCGAAAATGGTATCGAGTATTTTCCTGAGTATCGGTATCGAGTTGAAAATGTTAGTATCGTGACAACCCTAGCGGAGAACAGTTCGGTGGGTGCGTTACCTTCGGTGACGGGCTGCAGCTTGCTGGAGCGCTCAGAGTCGGGGCTGTGCAGAGGCTCCGGCTCCCTCAGGCTCTCCAGGGGCAGGAAGGGGTCGTAGTCCGGGCTCAGGAGGTCCGACAGCTGCAGGGGGAAATACCGGGGGCTGCTGAAGGACTGGGCCCCGTACACACAGCCGTGCAGAACCTGAGACAGAAAGGAGGCGTTACTGTTAGAATAATGGTACATAAGTTATCATGCATTCTCTGAATTACATATGTGTAACACTGCTCTAGTGGGCCCTCCCTGTCATCTGGGAGGGCCCACCTGTGCTCTAGAGCAGTGTTTTTAAACCACTGTGCCTCGGTACACTAGTGTGTATCAGAGTGATGGTCAGGTGTGCCGTAGAAAATCATCCTATTTCACCTAATTGGTCTAAAAAGATTTTTTGATAAGGAATTAATTATCTGCAAATAATATTCCATTTTTGAGTGTGTGTGCTGTTCTAGTGACTGGTGGAGTAATCATGTAATAATTCCTTATGACTAGATTTTATATATAATTTTGTATATTGAAGTGGACATGTTAAGAGCAATTTGAAAGAAGAAATATAAAATATGATAAAAATACATTTGGTGTTTATTTGATTCCTATTCAAGACACTTAAGATAAGATAAGAATAAAATAAGAATAACTAGAGTGTTACAATAGATTTGTTTAACATTTTTGGTTGGTGGTGTGCCTCGTGATTTTTTCTATGAAAAAATGTACCTTGGCTCAGAAAAGGTTGAAAAACACTGGTCTAGTGGGGCCCACCTGTGCTCTGGGCCCCCTTCTGAGGACACAAACGCACAGACGTACCTTGTAGATGCAGCTGAGCAGGGTCTTGGTGGGCTGGTCCCTCTCAGGTGTGCTCCGCGTTTGCACGGGCTGGAGGAGAGTCTTCGGGGGCAGAGCCATCACCCAGTCCAGCAGACACAGGAGGAGCGACACCACCAGCTGAAAACCCACAGGCGGAACATCACTCTTTTATTTTTTTTTCTGAGCATAGAATATATATTTATTTATTTATTTAATCAGGACAGTGCAGATTAATGAACAATCTCATACAGATTGTAAATGGGCCAGATTCTAGCATAGTTGCTAGTTTACATCTGTGGTCCTGAGGCAGGAAGACCAAACAACACAAAATCACAAAATACAAAATCAGTCCAAACACACGTTCAGACAATGACATTACAAAATTAAAATGAATTCAATTCAATTTCATTTATTTAGCCCCACATCACAACAACAGTTGTCTCACAGCTTTCCAAGCAGAGCAGGTCAGACCCTACTCTGAAGTTAATTACAGAAACCCAACAATTACAGAACCCCAATAATTACAGAAACCCAACAATTCCCACTATTCCAGCCAGAGCGCCGTTTGAACTGGTTAAAAGATGTTTCTTACCCTCTTATCCAACTCGTGTGGAGACGACTCGGTATTAGGGAGAAGGTAGGTGATGGTTGCAATCAGAATCTGAAGAGA